AAATTTATATCCAAATTATATCCAAATTTTTATCGTTATCCAAATAAATTTTTTCAATTTGATATCCAAATTTTTTCCGGTCCTTGGGCGCAGTCAGATGATCTTCCAATCCAATCACGTGTTTATCGAGACACCAAACTTTATTTTTATATTGAAATTTTTACATATTGGATTTTATATGTACTGTATCATATATAATTATATACTTATAAAAATAGCGCAGTATTACAGTATTAAGATACATTGCTTGTTCAATATATTGATTGCTTAAATTCAATTAAAAGCTTATCAAATAAAAGCTTTAATGCGCACAATAAAGAATCTAATACATAATAACATCTTTATCCATAATATTGCATGTTTTTATTACTATCTTTCCAAGTTTGTGGCAATATACACCTCTTTTCGTGATGCAAAATATCTTCAACGAATTTTTCAAGCGGGATTAATTTGGATTCTATGTTTTCAAGAAATCTTTGACGGTTATGAAAAGACTTTGATTCGTTAAGAATACGTTGTGCCTAATTTAACAAAATAAATATTAATAATCTGTCAGAATTATATTAAGAACTATAAACATCTACCTCGTTTAAAACTTGACATAGTCGTGCATGTTTTTGCTCAACTTCATCTATAAAATCATCACTTGTTTCATATATTTCATGTGCTGTATTTATAACGGAGGGTTTATTAATTTTATTAATAAAATCATTAGGGGGTTTATTAATTGTATCAGTAGAGTTATCATTATCATTATTGTTGAATTGGTATTTATGATTACTATCAAGTTTTTCAAGATTGCAAGCCAAACAGATTTCCTGCCAAGGGTTGCACAAAGATACCCAAATTAATGGATACTTGGAATTTCGAATAAGCTAAATTAATATTTATTGAGTAAATTAATTTAAATCAGGTTTCAGTTATGTTGAATAATACACACTTGATAAAAAAATACATTTGATTTTGAACCAATTGGAATAACCAAATGCTTGCACAAAAAAAATCTGTTTGTCGCAAAATAAGGGCAGGAGCAAATCCAGTTTGTATAATTTGTTAAGTATTTATCATTATTAAAGTCACAAGACCGTGATGCTAACAAGTTCCATTCCTTCTGAAATCCTTTTTGTCATGATGTAAGTTGACGCCCATAGTATAGTAATTTAAATATATCAACCTGCCGTATAATAACCTTAATATTTAAAAAAAAAGTTAATAAATTAATAAAATGCTAAAATTTAATTATCATAGATATCTTCTTTATGATTATAAAGCATAGTAGATCCAAACAAGGACGGTTGAACTTATAAAGATGATCTTTCTTCAACAACCTCCAATGTGATTCGATCACAATGGTCATACGCAGAATTCCAATTTCTTCAAAAGAAGATCGTGCCCAAAAAACCTATTGTTTTGATGAGTACCACTTGCACCATAAATATCCTTATACTATAGTTAGATTATTATTGTAACAATACTGATATATTTTTGTGACACATTCAATCCAGATTACTTGCTGATTGCTTGCAAATAGTTTATCTTCTTTTGGAATTAGTATATGCTGATTAAAGTGCTTTGTAATAAGGTTTTTTATATGCATGCAAATTTCTTTGTTAGCAAGTTGATATTCTGATTTTGATCTATTTACATTTTCTTGAAATGTCTTATTAAAGATTGGTAGAGCTAGTTGCTATAAAGGGTTGATTATTGCACATTGTTTATATGCTTCAACTGCATTGTATCTTATTGTTTGAATCTTTGTTCTTGATAATAACTTTTGCTCTATAGTACGCATGACATGCCATAAACACAGTTGCACTTTAACATTAGTCCAAGTAGCCTTTGCTGCATTTATTTGTGATAAGTCTTTGTCAGTATAAAAAATTTGCACATTTGCTAACTGTCGTGCTTTTAATTTCATAAACCATTCTGTAATAATACTAGTAATATTATGATTTTTGACTGGTGGTATAAATAAATAAGAAATAGGAAAAC